TCATTTTTGAAAAAGTCTACTATAATTTAGTTACATACTTTAGTTTAATGTAAATTAACTTTATTAAAAATGTTATGAATTTTCATATAAAATGCGAAGAAACTTTTTCCACAACCTATTATATACATATATGAGAGTGGTCATGAATCTGAACTGTGTCCTTTGCTTTCGACTAATCGGACTTGTAAGGGTCTTTATCAGTCGGCTTAAGTCGTTACAGAGTTGCTCGATATTGCTATTGACTTATGATGGCGAAGCCCCGTCACATAGATTTGTGGTTTGGTTAATTTAGACTAGGAACGGTATCATCACTATTGTTATATGGACACGGAGATCAGAATCCAGATCTTAATAGAATACTCTGGTTGGTTATAATTGATTTATTATATTTCAGCTAAAGTAATGAATCGAGTTATCATGTTTAATATCTGGAGACCATTCATAACCACTACCTCATTTGCTTAAAGTAATTTAAAAAAAAAACTTTTTTTATCACTTTATGCGCTTGTATATATAATAAGTCATCTAATTTTATAAGATTATTGAGTGCTTGTTGTGAGATTAAACTGATTTTAAACAAACATTTAATTTTTCATTTACTGAAATTAATAAAGGCAAATAGGCAGGTGTTTTTATTTTTGTTTGATTTGAAAACATTGATCAAATCTCTTCACAAAGTATAATATTCGTAAATATCAGTAATGAAATAAATTATTGGATTATACAAAGTTTGTTTTACATCCTTGACAACGTTGCTGCAATCTGTTAAAAATTGTGTCGAACACAACGCTTCACTCAAATAAAACCTACTTAGAAAGGTAATAAATGTTTTGCTTGATGGAATCTCTAATGCTGTAAAAGTACTGTGTTACATGCTGTTTTATTTTAATAGAATAGCATATCTGAGTGACAGCGGCGATACAAATAATTTTTGTTTGTGTTATATTAAATTATCATTCGAATGACATCACCGACAGAAACATCTATTTTCATCAATACAATTTCAACCGGTGCGCGAGCACCGGGTCGTTATCGGTTATATGATACACAAAGATTACGTAGAAAACACGCCCGAAATGCACCGCATTGTAAGTGTACTAATCTTGATGGTAAATGAAATACGAATGCTTTAAAATCCTGTCAGAATAAGCGAATACGCCGCGAATCAAGACACGATTGCAAATTCAATTCTGCAAACGTTTTGTTCATTTGTGACAATGTTCTTAAACAAAGGGTGATGTTATACTATGTATAATTAGCGTATAGTTGTGGATAGGTATTTAGTAATAGAATATGTAAGTATTTATCATAGAAATCATCTAAGTGTTTGAATGAGAGCGTTTTTTAAATATTTTTATACAAATTCTAAAATAATCTTCCGTTTTATCAAAATACATTATGAATCTTCTCTCTGTGTGTTATTCGTGCAATTGTTTTTTATTTGAAATGTATGTTTTTCGAATTACATACATGACTGGTTAAGGCATGTTGTTTAATTGGAATTCACTCAAATTGTAAATTTGTGTTTTAAAATTGATTAAATCGAACCATGCTGAATATCGAGCATAATTCGCCTTCTATGCGTGAGTGGAGTGTGTCTGACAGCAACTTTCTGACCTACGCAAATCAACAAACGATACGTAGCTCCCGGCGCTTGTCTGCATCGTTGATGGCAGCAGAAATGAATTTTCACAGTAAAACCTGTGGTAGTTTATTTGTTAGTCGAATAAAAATACAATTACAATTTTATAATTGAATAGAAATGTAACGAGAACTGCTTGGTTTCTTTTGTTTGTTACTTACTATTGTGTGGACGCATCACTCGCTATGTGACTACTAGTAGAATGTATCCAGTGTATACAATCATTATTTATCTAAATAACATGTTGATGCATTGTCATATTATGGCGTGTCATTCTTCATCCTTTGCAGTTTATGATTTCATAGATTAATAGAAGTTAATGTATGATTTGATTGTGTTCTCTTTATTTATCTTTGGATTGTTACTGTTTGTGTAATTGGTCTGTATATATTTTAGAGATCATCCATAAGGATTTCTTAAAAACTTTTTTAAAATTATCTCTAATTTAAAAAGTCAACAGACCTGTTTGTCGCCTATTTGTAAAAATTTATTTATTTTATATTTCGAAGTTTAATTCAATATTGCTCGCCTCTATTTCTTACAGCACGCGTAGCATGACAGCCGCGATAAATGGTTCGTCTATATACCAAATGTAACATTTTTCGGGTCGTGATTGACATTGAAATAAGCAAGCCGTTACACTTATCTTATCCTAATTCAGTTATCCCAATCTGACCATTATTACGAGCTATATGATATTTTAATATATCTGCTAACATACTCATGCTAGAACCTAATATGACGATAGGCATTTACGTACGGAATTATGTTATCGTAACCTGTAACTGACAGCGCTCGCTGAGCGACGGCAGATGAAATTACTTGACGTCCAAGTCCTGGAGCTTCGTGATACAGTAATAGACGTGTGTTGGAATCAATATTGCTAAGAATAATCAGAGCGGATGAGCTATGGTACCTAACCATACTTTAATGTTTAACGTCACGGTTTCATTATTTTCGATGATAACAGATGGCGCTGTCTTTTTTTTTTTAATAAATGGAATTGTTTTCTAATTTACCCCCAAATGAGGTCTCCATGTTTAATGATCCTTTATTTATGTTACTTTGCCTGCGTAAATTATAGCCTGTGGTCTATCCTTATAATATTTCATATACCTACCAAATTTGCGCTTTTATAATATTATATAGTAAAAGATTATGATATTTCAACCCTGTACGGCATGATTATATATAACTCACGCATATGTAATAAACTAATAACACTTAATTACAAATTTGCAAGTATATTTCTAATTTACAAAACTTAATTATTGCAGTTTCGAAACTAATTTGACTCGGGTCCTTTATAGTATGATAATAATTTATAATTTCAATGAGCGTCAGAATTTTAAATCGGGCAAGTGACCGCAACAAGCAGCGATGCCACCGAGCGCGTACTGGTTTTTGATGACTTACCGTTTTCACTTACAATCTAATTTAAACCTAATGTAGTTCATTTGAAGTTCCGTTTTGCGTAACTTACGAACCCTGGAGCATAGTTTCACTGTCATGATTCATATTAGGCAGGACTAGAGCGGCGATGATAACAAGAATGTTTAGTACTATCCCTTTCTTATATACTGTCTCAACCCTTAAACGAAAGAGACAGGTTTAGTTATTTGTGGTTCTGCTAACTAGTTTTCAAATTCGTAGGAAGACATCCGGTCTTTTGAATGTGTAGTATGTAAGAGCTTAATTTTATAATGAAGAATTGACAAATCTTAGTTAACATGCAATATTTTATAATGTACTATCGATTTTCCTGTGATTTCTTCCGCGTATTTTTATATAGCCTAGGTATGTCATTCGTGTATGATTTAGCGCAGGTGAATGAATGTTTATAATCGGTCCATTCAATGCCAACTAACGAAGAATCAAATCTTTCTTTTTTATAAACCAGTCAGTATACATTGTCAATTTTTCTTTTGTCCACATTTACCGATATCCAAGTTAAGCAAATTCATCAGTATTAAATGCTAATTTTTTTTAATAATAAGTTCAATAATTGCTGTAATGATGTGCACACACGGTATGGTTAACAGTTCTATTTTTGGAATCACATCGACCTTGATACGTTCTATTGTAAAGCCAATATGAGTTAATTTAACTACAAGCGCTATCCCACCCCGCAATTTTCATCTTTGTCATCTTCCACCGCTTGGGCAAATTCTTTTTTCACGGTCTAAAAGTGAATTTATAAAATTTGTCTCGATGGAATTTCCAATTTCTTGATTTATGCCCGTAACTTTTAGAGAAAATATATTGATACGGTTTATTTGTAATATGTTTTAACGCGCAATTGCGCATTGGCAAATTTGCCATCTTTAGTCCCTATCTATATCATTGTCGCACGAAGATAGGTACGTACTTCAGTTGATTCATCAAAAGCCCTAGATAATTTTAGTTAAGTTCAGTCTCCGTTCATATAAACAGACATGGTAGCGGACTTTGTTTTATTATTACACTAGCTTTCGCAGCAGCGGCTTCGCCCGCGTGGTTCCTAGGGAAATGTTTAGTGGGATAAAAAGTATCCTATTATCTAAGTCAGCTAATACCCTATCTGTATACCAAATTTCATCAAAATCCGTTCATTAGTTTTTGCGTGATTGACCGGCAAACATCCAAACAAAGAAACTTTCTATTATATTAATAGGATTAAATTACGAAACTGAAGTCTTACTCTGTTTCTTCTAAAACGATTAACTTCTATTTTCGAAACGCTTATGTGACTACGAGAAAATGAATTTCCCGATAATGTATGGTGCAACGGAGGCAGGAGCTGACACTGCCCCTGAACCACAGATGCTCTTCACGGATTTGATTTAAACAAAATTGTGAGGACGTTTCGACATTTCCTGAAATTTCATTCGTCAACAAACAAAGTAGGATCTCAGATATACAACATTAATTTATGTTGCAATATCTAAATGAAAAATTACAAAATGTTTGAACTGTTGTTATAATTGATAATGTGACTAGTTGATCACAAGGTTGTTGAACGGGAACAATTTTATTTGTGTCACGGTGACTAGCGCATGAGCTTAGTCCGTTTTTCTGGGAATAGGCGTTGACATTATTATATTTTATGTGTAAATGGCCGTTCTTGGCCCTCGTCCTTTGTCATTGTACAGTGATAAGGGAAAATCGTTACTAATATAACACTAGCTGGTCGTTGATTCCGAACAAAGAAATATAGACCAGATAAATTTGAATAATGAGAGGATTATATAATATGATCATATTTCTTAAATTTCGTGATAGAAATGACCAATTTACTACCTGTATTACATTACATTCAGGTGACCTTCGTGAATACTTGTAATTAATATAATTTACTTTAAAATTTTATTTTGTGCAGGTGACATCACACAAAAGGGCTATGAAAAGAAGCGGACACGTCTTCTTACACCATACATTCCACAGCAACAGCCTCAAGGTGAGTCTAGAGTAAGACAAATATTAAAAAAAGCCGCTAACCCTGTCGCCTGTACTAATCACAGGTGCATCTGTCATGACGCGCGAGTACTGGCTTAGCTTTCATTTACGAATTAATCGCTACCGTCATTCATGCAACACGTTTAATGAACTTCCCAGTACTTACGAGTCCAAGGTCGCGACAGAAGTGTCGCTGGGGTCATGTGTCAATTGGTCGCCGTCGATGGACATTGGACATTCGCGAATTGATCGAGACGTTAGTTTTTAGCGCATGCTCTCGTTCACAAACTAGGGTTAAACGGTGAGGCCATCTTCAATCCGGACCCCGAAGTGTCTGAAATTAGAACGTAGTCCAGTTTGGTGAACTGCGAATTTTGTCTTTTTGAAATTAGAGTTTGGACTAGAATTTTGGCGTGCCGATTTTGCGTTTCACTATCATTATTTAGTTCTGGTCGGCGCTCGAGATTATTAAAATAATGAGGTTGGCCTTCACAGTCTCAGTGGGAGATAAAAAAAGCAATCTTTCTCACAATCGGTTAACAAACGTAGTCCATAGTCCACCGGCGGCAGTTTGTTTACAATTGTTTCGTTTTTAATTTCCTTTTTTAATGTACCTTTAGTTTAATTATGGTTTAGTTAGTCGGTTGGCCACACGCACTTCAACCACACTTTATCACCATGGTACTTACCTGGATCTAATGGCACGTAATGTTACACTAAATATTACAACGCACAATTGATCGGCTTTTTATTGCTTGCGGTGAAAAAAAAAAACTGTTCCCATTTTACAACCTTGGCCCGAGGTGAAACGTGATGAGGTGTTTATGAAATTAAAACGATCGTTAAAAGGGGCCACTTTGCGATGAATCACGAACGTCGATATCTATGTTTATATTTTGTCTGTGACTATAAATTTGTCCACTACCAAATCAACCGTTTAACCTTAATACTTACACAATATTTGAATTATGTTTAAAATTTCTATATATATATAGACATTTACGTGACTAATATCGGTAGCCAAAGCCGCCATTACTAACATAAAATGACAGTGGCTTCAATTATGCGCTTGCACGTCAGAATTGCATGATAGATAGCAATCATCATGTTTATGTTGATGTTAAAATTTAAAATTGTTTTATTTCAGGACATTCGTGAATTGTAATATCTGTCGTTGAATAAAAAATAATGTTATTATTATACATGAAGTTTTTAAAAGTTTATACTAAATAAAGACATTTCCAGTATTCCATTACAGTGCAAGTACGATTAAAATAAGTAATTTTTTTTTTTTTGGCGGCTTGGTAGTTTATACAATTAGCGTTTAATATATGATAAGATTGATAAAATTCTAATAGATATGTGTTGAAACAATATTTTTGGTTGTAATATATACTATTTTTTTTACAAATTAATTATCAAAATGCAAACGCATTAAAACCACAAAATATATAAAATAAAACATGTCGGAAAGTTGTTTCGTTGTTGTTTCATTGTATAAATAAATTATTAAAGTTTGCGACTTCCAACTTTTATATATTGTAAGCGTATAAATATAAATAATTTGAAGTTACATTTATAAATGGCGGATGTTATAAAAAGCATATATACATATATGCTTTTTTCATATACATATATGCATAAAGCATATATACATATATGCTTTTTTCCTTAGAAAATTAACAACTTAAGCAGCAGTTTTCGTAAGGTAAATCTATTTAGTACGATGGAAATAAATTTAGCCTAATTAAATATAGAATTAATCATTAGTTAAATGTTTATGCTGTCGGAAAGAGGCGAGGAGTTTTGTAAAATACGAAGGTATTAAAAGTCACTATAACCGAATAATATTTCTCAAAGATATGTCAGTATTAGCGAAGTTATAATAACTGAATTTTATTAAAGGTATTATATAAAAAATAACTTTGCTCTTTGATAACGTTGTTTTAAGCGATTGTTTAATTTATAAAAGCTCGTAATAAACGGATTGCATTCAATTTTCATAAATGGATGGCGACTCGTTACATTTGTCACTCGAAACTACTAGAACTCGGCCAGTCGCTTTTCGCCTGGGGTCTATTATTGATTTGCTATTATTGATTGTACTGGTTCAATTATGTTAATATTCTTTTACTTACAACTCATTATTTTGAGATGAAATATTTTGATTAGCTAAATATTATTAATGGAGTAACTTGACTTTTTAATTAATTACTTGCAGTTCAATATTCGTATTGAACAAACTTCTATAATATTACTTAGTAAATATTAATATTGGAGATATTTTATTTCTAAGAAATTATTACCAGATTCGATCTCTCTCCTACACCTCTTTTTCTCTTCATTCAAAATATATTTTTCTATTAATGAATTGATAAATTAATTAACAAATCACACAATAAATTTATTTGTCCGTGCACTCCTTTAAAGTAAGAAAGTATTAGGTCTAGTCTGTTATTACGTCATATGGTGGTATCCATATTTCACTTTTGAGACAATGAGGTGCGTTAGAGATAAGTCGTCTTCCAGAGTAGCGCTTAATCTTCAATGGAATAAAACTTTTATTACCTTTTGAAGAAGATGATATTTGTTTGAACCCCAATGACGCGACTGTTGTTATAAAAAAAATGAATCGAGGGTCGCTCTAGATATATTTTACCTGCTTCCTGTTACGTAAAATTTTAGTGAATTTATAAATTGATTTACAGATATAATGATTTGACTTAAATTAACAATAATAATAAATATAACATACATTTTTGAATGTACTTTTAAAGCGTGATGTTTGATTCCATCGAATTTATTAAATGACGTAAATATTTGATTTCATTTTAATAGAACTTTACTATAGTATTAAGTTAGTAAACACATGATTTTTTTTTAATACTTTTCGTATTGGATAGTTTTTATTCTTCGAATGTGCCGGAACAGTGTAGCATTCGGCTTTTTAAAAACTGTTTTCTTAGGTAGCACTACCTTATTACTTATTATTATTGAGTAGCATGATTTAAGCTTATGTTTGACTGGTTTTGCAGTCGCGCTTTTGCTAGCGCGTGGTAAGAAGCGTTGCCCGCTAGGAATTTTGAATATCTTGCATCTATTATAAACATACTCGCCTGGATGGCACGCATTTACGATAATACAGCTGCGTATTTAAATCGCGCGCAGGCGAGGAAACGCTGCGTCTAATGTGCGTTTATAATAATGATTGATTACATAAAGATGATATTATCTCGTGCTGGTCACCCATGAGCTTATAACGCGAGGCGTGTAAGGTGAACTAAAATGGCGAATTTACCTCGCAAGTTCTAGTCTCCAGTATACAGCGTTACTGTGATTATGTACTGCATCTCACCTCTGCATCTCATTAGACTCGAAAATGTGCTACTGTCTAGTCGTAATTTTGACCGTAATACCAGCTGAGTTAGTCATTCTGGCTTACTACGTTGTTGGTTTAGTGAAGTTAAGTTTAGAATTTTCTATGGGTGGAGTCTATCGATCCACAGCGGCTTATTAATTTATAAATGGAGAAATTGATAAGCGGCGGAGTAATGGACTCGGCGGCGCCGGTTAGTAGATTGCGTCCGGTTGTGCTATGCAGTCCGACGACGGCGACATACGCAATACGTATGAGCCTTTAAAATATGTACTACAAACATTTTTAACTCTCAAGAGCGATTGTACATTAGGCTCAGTTAGTTAAATTCGTGATTAGTACAATAATCGCTTAGTTCAATGCGTGACAGTTAAAAAAATAATATCTGAAATCAAATCAGATAACTCCTTTAATAACTTAACCAGAAACACAGCACTATCATTAAAAATGATCGAAAAAAGTTTTATTATCCGCTTTGACATTTCCTATATGTTGGTTTTTAATACAGGTATGTATAAACTATTGTATTAGTACCAATCATAAAATGTCACGTTTTGCGGTTGAACGAATTTGGTTAATATTTGGAACTTGAATAGTCCAAAGCCTGGATAAATGTGACTATGTAAACAGCGGGGACAACTTAATATTATAATTCCAGGATCGTTGTTCTATCGTTTTCATGCATTTTCCTCGTATCTCTAAATATACAAATAATATAGGGTTGCCTCAACTTTGAAAAATCGTGGACGTATATTCGGAACCCCAGGACAGATCAGTATGACAACAGGGTGCAGTAATACTATAGTTAAAAGAGAGTAACTTTAATAACCAGAATTAGATCATCACACCTCACATTTGAAACACTCGCTTTTTTACATTTATATTTAACTCATACTTTGACTAAAAGATATTTAAGAAGTACAATGAACACGTGAATTCTCAGCGAACCAAGCCTGTTTTTTTAGAACTTTTTTTATGATCTAAGCTTTTTATAGCTACTGCGGTGCAATAATAATGGCATTGTAAGTGAAAAAGCAACGCAACGCCGCACATACCTATGTTTACCTAAACTTAACAAATCTATAACGAACACGGCAATAATAATACTATTTCTCTGCGGTTATTATATATTCTCGAAATGCAACATAAAGTAAAATAATTTAAATAAATAGTAGAATTTAAATGGATAATAGATTCTAAGATGCGAATTTCGCTATTTTTTTATTTTTATGTAAAGTTGATGTAGTAAAATACTATCTCAAGAGTTGATAAACTTTCACCATTTACTATTTAAACTTTCTCATTGTATATTGAACGCGATGGCGCTTGCATGAAAATTCAATTTCCTGTGGGAATCCCAGGTAATTACTTCTTAGCGTTTGTGTACTTAAATTTCTAACATATCTCAAAGGTCTCACACTATTCGAGAAGTTAATGGAAGATGGCCTTATACGAGTTGCCTTAGAAAGTTTGAGCAATTTACTTCGTCTTCGTCTGGTTTTGATCAATTTTCGATCTTTGTCGGTTTTTGCCGCCAAATTACATTTGAGTCGCACGAGCATCGGTTAAGTTCGTGCGCGAGCATAGGTGATAAACGCCTTCTAAGTAAGGGTCACCACTTTTGC